GGGAACGTGCGACGTCATCTCGCGACGGCTACTCAAGTGACGACTAGTGTATCTCCGGGTGCTCAGACTCAATGTCATTATGATTTCAAAATAACCTTTACGGCTCGTGCTTTTGATATGCCTTAATGGGCGGAAAAGGATTTTCAAAATTTACACAAACAATTTTGTGGAAATATGCTCCCTCAACGGAGCGCAGTCGTCAAAAACTAATTCGGGCATTTTGTACACACCGCGAGCGGCCGTTGGGGTCGGCTTGGTCTCGATAGCCGTGGCTGTTAAATCCCAACGGATGAAACACGCTCTTCTCTAGCTTACAGAGAAGCGAGACAGATACGTCGACGCGCGAAATTTTTGCACTATTCGGGAGGCTCGGGACGACGCTTCTGTCGTAATCACACCACTAAATATTCTTCATTCTCGCAGTCAACAGAGCAGGATACGTGGTGAATCATTGCGGGCTGGTCTTTGTGCTTAGCTTCGGCCGTCAAAAATGGATCATGATGCTATACAGAAACGGCACGGTCAACATATGCAACGGCTCATCTCGCAGATCATGTGTTGGAGGAACGGAGACTAGCTAACGATTTGGTTAGCGGAGCCGCTACCTGCAGCTACCTGGGTGATAACGGCCGTGGCCATACGGTATTGGCCAACGCATCTGCGGGTAGACAGCCCATGGCTCTGCGATGACACATGACATCGGTTGTTGGGCAAGAGATACGACCGCATCAGGCCGTGCTCACCGGAAGAATTTGCGATTGAGCGAACCGGTACAACAACATACGTTTGTCACGTCCCATTGGCTGAGGGGGCGGACAAGCACCACATGGACCGCAAACTCGGACGCTGGGCTTTAGCAATTTTGCTGGGGAGTCCTCCGTTGGCTTTAAGACGGACATTCGAGATTCTACCCACTTTGGCTTTACGATACCTCCTGGACCTCTGGCTATCTTACAACTGGGTGCTGGTAGAACCTGGAGCTGTTCTAGGGGTGGCAGGTACAGCGTCGGATATTCCTTCTTGGGGAATCAGGCTTAAGCAGAAGGCCAACGGGATTAATTGGGTAGTCGATGACTCACGTAGCATACCTCCTGAGTATAGGGACGATGTGGACTTCATCACGAGCTCGCATTGAGTTCTTGTTCTTGCCGTTGAGGCACGTCCATTTATCCACAGCTTTTCGTGGGACGCCCCATCGAACTTAGCGAATCAGCACGTATTGAGGTACATTACACGCCAGCCGTATTGCAAGACCAAGGTGGGGCTTAGCACAGCTTTAAAAGGTCTACTCCAGAAGTGACAAACCTGCGCAGACTGGGAATACTGGCACTCGGCATCTCTTCATCAAATCCCGAATGAGCCGTGAAGCCCCTTAAAATGCAATCACGGAGTATTAAGTGTGGGTCTATTATCGAATGACACTCCAACAGCTCATTTTATTCTTCCCGGGCAGGGAACTTGACAAAAGTTGCAGAAGGTCGTCCGTCTGTGGCAGTCACAAGGAGACACTAAAGCAAATGTTCTGGACATGTCCGGTGGCCCAGGGATGCTTATATGAGATCCTGACCTCGTGGTTTAAGTCCGACGTGCGGCTGGATAACGTGAGCCAGTATGCGGCAAACTGCATGGCAAGGTTACCGCCGCCTTTGTCTAGGACACTACTATAGCGGCTGCAGCAGGCCTTTGGGGATACTGTGGCGGAGTATATTAATCATTGAATGCGCAAATTGTGGATCCTGTGTTTCGTTGTATCTTGATTCTTTAAATCCAGCCCATTGGGTTGTTTACGAGCGGCAACAACTTTCACTCCTGGGATGTTTCCAAGAGGTTTTCTCTGACAGACTTATGCAATTAAGAGCGCTATCGGCAAGAGAGCGCAGCACGTTACATTCAAGGGTACAAGGCATCAGGCTATGGCAGTCTATAGAGTTACTAGGTGACACCACTGCGCCTTTCAGAGCATCACATCATGTGGTGAGCCACGTACAACCACCGGACAAATCTACACCGGCATTGCTAATCTGGCTTGGGACATTCCAGATGTCTTGTTCACTTTAATACCGTGTAATCGACTGTCTGTTCTTATCTTTCTCTCTGTCATAAACCTAATTCAACTACCTGATACTAATGTTAACTAATACGCATTGTAATCTTTAGAATAATATAGTTTTATGAATGGTACATCACGCTGTCATCAGTGTATGACCGAGGTGAATAACCACATCAATTATCACAGACAAAACTTGGAATAACTTGTATTTCACATATACAAGGTATTACTTTTTTGGGTGGTAGCGGTCGTGTGACCTTGTTAAAGAGAATGCGAACAAGCAGGAATAATGGAGCCCTTGCGCACCAGAAATAAAGTCATGTAGAACAGTTTAGTAAAATAAAAATTTAAAATACAGGGTAAAGGAGCTTTTAATAAAAAAGCGACAAGGCTTTGCTTGAAACTAAAGCAATCGCATATCTGCATACACTTAAAATTATCTGCCCGCACAATAATTCAAAAACTAGTTCATTAAAAAAATAGCCTGTCTGGTCATGTATTTAAATGAGTCGAAAGATACTGCAATGTAGATTAATACTGCCAGATTAGACGATTACATGGGATAGAGGTATTTTAGCCCGGCGATAAATAAAGATGATGAGTATTCACGATCGGAAACGCGGTCTTGGAATGCGGGGATAGGTAGACTGTTCTATTAACTTAGCTATAACATGCAATTTAGTTCGTTAAATCGATAACTAGATCCTAAAACCCACTTTGAAAACTTAATCCTTGCATATTCATGTTCACAGAAGTTGTTCGAAGGTCTCCAAGTTGCAAAACGTCAGCGTGCGAGCTGTATAAAAAAAGTGAGGCTAGAAAGCCACTGGATCGATCCAAGCGGTGAATATTACGAGTATAATAGATACTGACCGGCTCCATTGTCGAGCAATTTTTACAGATTAGGAATCTGCAAATGGTTTTCTTCACTTCCTATAGCAAATAGCTTTTAACTCACGTGCTCTACTTCGCTACATGAAGAGTTGCATTAGGCCCATCAAAACACTTTCTGAAGAACTCCTTCCTGCGTACTATAGACAACAACCTTTGGTGAGTGCTGAAGTCAAGTCCGGTTGGATAAAAAATTCTAGTAGAATTTATTTTAATATCCTTAAAAAAGTATGTTATTGTCGTGAATGTAATTTCACTGTATAAGGGAACTTTCTGTAGAAATTGAAACACTGTGAGGTTGCTTACATGAATTATGAGCTAACAGAACTGACACGATGCTAGACTCGTCCGTCGTGCTTTAATGCGTCAAGCGCAATTGAAACAGTAAATGCGACAGCATCTTTTATACTGGTGCTAGATACGGAAGTCGAAATTCAAAAATTTTAGCTTACGTAGCCGTTTTGTGATTTTTACAGCTTGGACTAACTATTACCGGTTCAGCAAATTACTCATTAAATTCATCGGCAATACATTCTTGACTATACGCTGTCTAAATAAAAGGGGAATGAAGGACACCGAGAGCTCAGATATAGTGTTGTTTCTTTGAACTGATTTTTTCTCTGAACAATTATTGTGGAACAGTTGTATAACTATTATATTTTGACCAAATTTTGGACGCTGAGCGCGCCTTTTCAGCTTCATCTCGCACAAAATTCATTTTTTACTGAATAGACATCCCAGCATCAAGAGATCAAGGTAAATTCAGCAAATTGTGCACTTGGAGTCTTGCACGCACCATGAAACAACTGCCTTACGACTTATTGCAACTATAAAGACTCTCATTATGACGCAACATCAGTTAATACGTGTACGCGGTGAAAGAGTGAAAAATATTGACCATACTTTTCCCTACTTGCTGCAATCAGTGCACTATCTAAAAGAGTCCTAGAATTAGATGAACTCCCCATACATAGCATTTAAAATTGTTACCTGGACTATGTTGATCACCTACTCCGTTATTAAAAAATTAGTTTCTTATCCGGGTGTATGCGTTTAAAAATTGATAATCTATGTATGATGCCATGGTTGCCGTATTGTTGTATCATTTCATGAGGTTTGATCTCGTAAAAAAACGGTCCAGCGAGTTAAAGATTGTGGTCGTGTATGTCATCGATGGTAATTGTAAATCGCTAACCCTCGATCGAACCTTTGCTGCTCACTTGTGATAAGTTCACGTGAATATACTAACCATCTTGCTGATGCCGCTATTCCTGGTGACTCTTGCTCCAGCCAAGCTCTAAAAATACTATGGAGATGCGTAGTATGACTTCTTACAGTTCTTTGATCGTGAAAACAGGTGATTAAAGTATGCACAAATGGGTGATGAGACGCTTCCGAATTTGGCGGTAGGCGGGTTGGACCATCTTCGTCGGAAGAACTTAAATTTGGGCTTGAAGAAATGGGGGAGAATTTATTTGTAACGGGCCACCGCAACGACACAAGATACAGCCAGTGTGGAGATACTCACAATAACTGAAGCGTAAATGGAGCCTCGCTGCCTCTTAAAACTTATAAAGGGAAGGGATATCAACCAGAAGCTGACTACTTGCTGTTGTTTTACCGATAATTAAGTTTAAAATACATGTACCTATGTTATGTCCTGACTTATTTAAATTTATATACAAAAATGAATGCCGAATCTTGCCCATCACTCATTGCGTACAAATACCGTTGATCAGACCGCTAGAAATGGCTATTATGATGGCCCATGTTAGACAATCGGTGAGTGTTTTCAGATATATCCCCTTTTGAAAATATCAAGGTACATTATCAACCGAATAGTATTATACTAATTAACTAAAATCAAGGTTAATAACATGTAACAGGCTCACCCCGTTACATCATTCCCCCTACTTAAACGATTTTTATTCAGTCACAGTCATATTGATGTGGTCCCCATTCGACCACATCAGGGATAGGGGGAACTTGTTTTGTTCTGATCCACTCAATTTCGGGTTTATTGAACCAGTTTATGCGATGCGCGGCGACAGCTGCTCAAATGAAAGGAGCGCGTGGTCCCGGATTTGGTCTTGAAGATGCCCAGCCTCTCGCGAAAGTCGATGCTTTGTCTACTGCTGCTGCAGCTATTTCTGCATCACCTGTTGCTGCAGAGGCATGTGGTGGGTCACCTCGTGCTGATGATGATGGTCTTCAAGGGAAGCTCATCTGTTCTGGGAAGTTGGACGGTGGGTCCGATTTGAAATAGACACCTAGGTCGCCCGAGTCTGTAGTGGCGACGAATACGAGCCTATGAATAGGACTCGAGCGGTTAGTCAGGCTTATGGTTACTGCACGAGCTGTTCAGCTCGAAAATGAGCATGCTGACCCTCCCGTGCCTGCTAATGCACATTTGCATATTAAAAATGCGGTGATATCTTGCAAACGTCGTAATGACTATTCTAGAGGTACAGCTACTTTCGTCGTACCACGTAGGAAGATCTAGACTGCAACATGTTGCGTTTAGCACATGAACAAAGACCTTATGCATTACCAAAAAGACTTTCAATGACTTTTTAGGCGAGACAAATCTATATCGTCGAATTCCAGTGTTCAATGCGAGGCTTGCACGGTCTCGGCATCACCGCGAGCAACGTTTGAGCTGAAGAAAATGCTGATCTGTATCCTCCGTGAAGCATCGTTGGTTTAGCGGCAACAACAAGCGAGCAGAAAACTCGTTGCTGCAGTCGCGAAACGCGTTTACACTAAGTGTGAGGCATTATGCGTTAAGCTTGTATTCAGAAACTCAACACTTCTTGCGTCAGGTTAAGGAAAACGAACCTTGACTGGTGCAAAATATCGGCTGTGCTATCTGTTTTGTGAAGTAGGAAATTCCATGCCCCGCGTGGGACTGCCCATATCCGTGTTGTTCGGACGACACTTAGCGCATCCATTGGGAGATTACCTCCTTTTTGACCTGGTGTGGGGCGCACACCTTTTTTAAAATGCTGGGTGCGACAGCTGAACCTGATATCAAAAATGGCTATTGATCACCATAGCTGCGTGTTTTCCGCTGACTTTTCTGAGTAATCGGATGTGTCTCGTCGCATTGGTAGGTGAGAACCTCAACATTAGTCATCATTAATGCATGAGACTCCGAGCTATCGTGTGAAGGCGGATATCCGCGCCATAGAACAGGATAACTCGTTTGCTGCCCCGTACGTCTCGGCAAATCAAAGTAAGCTCATCGTGAAAGCGTTGACCACCGTGCAAGTCCATGATAGAGTGCTGGGGCGTACGATCAAATTCGAATGATTGCTATAGTTGAAGGCGGGGGTTGGTCGTCTCTATCAACACCTAAACGATCTTTTTGATCACACCACAGAGAGGAAGGAGAGTCTCTCTTTGGAAGGGAGGGTGCAACGTATTCGCCTTTATAGGTCAGAAGATCGATCGGAGGTCGCATTCTACTAATTGGTCCACATGCGGAGGCGTCCAGCCATTCGAATTACGTGGCTGACATTTGTAGCCAGTATGCGGTACTACGCACCCATATTCAAAAATTGGCTCTAGACCGAAAGAATCACCTGGAGGTTCGTTAGCGGGGCGGATGTATTCGCTTAAAGAAGACATTTTGTGCTGATTGTAAAAACGATTACGACCAACCTAAAACGTATAATGCGTGCGCATCCCGCGAGTATACTCAGTTGTGTATGCATTGACTTTGTTATATATTTCACAAAACGGGCCAACGAATTTGGGTAGTAGTTTACTATTACACACATTAGTTACTACGTGCTAAGGTAGGTTTGCCTAGAAAGTATAACGAAGTCTACACCTTTTAAAAGAAGAACCTTTGCTCCTTTATGTTTGCCAGCGTACCGTTTTTGCTGGCCCACCGCGTTAGCGATGGAGTCTTGCCCAAAACAGACCACTGCTTCTTGTGTCAGCAGGAAATCTTATGCTGAATAACTTTGGTCTGTTGCAGTGCACCCTGAGCGCACCACTAAGAGGTCATCTACTTCTTTAGCTAGGGTTTTCTCATCTTCGCTGGTTTAGTTGTTGTTGATGCAGTATGTACCAGAATCGCCATTCTATTCTGGATCTTCAATATTGTCGTCACTACTGCTGAGGTTTAATCCTTCCACTTCGATTAGACCGACACATGCAACGATCGCGTCGTCGAGTACCTCGACACGTGTTGACCAAGGTTAGAAGGGTTTTTGTTTAAGCGAATACCTCCCCCTTGAATCAGCATCACACTCTAGACGGGTGGGTAGGCGTGAATGGCGTAAGCCATTCAAGAAGAATTGTGGATGCGTTGTCGACGCAAGCACGACGTTGCTGATGTCCAACTACAACATCGGCAAAAGGTCGGTCCAATCTGTGAAAGGTTCGAAGTATCCTTGAAGCATCTCTTCGAGGACGCGGTTGACGCGTTCTTCGTGATCAGATGTCGATATAGTAAGACGTGTTTCGAGGGATTAGTAAACGGATTGACAGCACGCCGCCTGGATCGAGGGTCTCTATCAGAGACTAATTCACGGAGCAGAATTTGAAGTCGGTGTACCGTGTCAATAAAGACACGGGCACATCCCAGTGCTGTGATTGAATACTGAACGGTAGCAAGATATAACGGCTTGCTAAAGCGATCAAGAAATACAAGAACACCATTATTATTGCGAGCGTCTTCGGGGAAATTCGAGGGAAAAGTCCACTAAAATGGACTGTCAGCACTCTGTCAGGATCGGTAGCAGATGTAGTGGCGCACGGGTAATTAAACTAAGCTTCATCAGCTGGCACACTTCACAAGCAATAATGTACTTGCGCACGAGATGGTACTGGCGGGAACAGTAGAAGGCGAGACTAACTGTAAGATAAGTTTTTTTACGCCCACGATGCCCACCAGGAGGTTCATCATGACACTAATACAAAACGCGCAAGCGTGTATTATCATGAGCGAAACGACGACACGAGATGTTTCCTCGGCAACGGCTGTATTATACAGCCACTCGTGCGTCTTGTGTATCGTTTCCTCGTGGAGGATCGATACAGGCCGTAAGGCTTCAAGGGATTAGTGATACGAAGTTACCAGATGATCTGTTAATCTCAGAAGAGCCTCAACTTTAGCGCAGTCCTTTTTAAATGTTGTCAAACAAAGTTGACGACGATAACAAGAACTGGTGTTGATACAGTGATATCAACTCCACTGTTGGACTGTGCGGACAACTCGAAGTCGGATCAAAGCAAAAAAGAGTGCGCGACAGCATAAAGTCGTCCAGGTGTGTATTCCAGAGAAATTTTAATACTCCGCAAAAAAGGATCGTCAACTTGTATGCTTTGCAAAAGGGGTGGGACGTTTACTGCCGTGCGTAATGACGCGTGGATCGTACAGACTACAAACGGCCTTGTTTAAAGGAAATAGGTGCAAAATTTAACAATACATGCTTCATGGCAAGATGGTATTAGTCATGTGCTGTGCAATTACACCCAGCTGCTTGCAGCTTAAGCGATTGATTACAGACGACGCGCTCTGCTCCGTCTGTACAGTTCCGCATATACCGCAACCAATCGCAGAATCCGATGGGCGATCGTATCAAGATCTGCTTGATAACTTGAAAGGAATGATATATAGCAGCTCGTCATGGCCACTTCTCGTCTTTATTAAATGAAGGGAGGTAAACGGTCATCTTGGCGTAATTTTGCGAGAATTTATGCATGTACGCCGCTGGGCCATAAAATCTTTGAGTCCCTTTATATCACTGGCACAGGCCAGTCGGTGATCGCTTTAATCTTTTTTGGATCGGGGCGTACATTGAATTTACTAACGATGCACACAAGAAATGATGTTTCACCAGCATGCTTATTAAGGTTGGCATACCGAAAATGCTTCCGCAAAAATGTAAGAAACTGACGAACGCGTATATGATAAACCTCTACCTCCGTCGTTCCGCCCATAGCCCGGCTATGGACGATTACATCGTCGAAATTGCTTGGTGCGAAGTCTCGCACCGTTCTCAACAGATTGCTTACACATGTGCTAAGTGTGGCAGAGCCGTTTTTTAAGCCCTTGTAAAATTGCAAGCCACTCCCAAAGCATACTGCCTGGGATAGTAACCGCAGTGTAAGGGATTTCCTATGTACGCACAAGGATTCGATAGAGGCCATCCACCATTTCCATGGACTATAAGATGGTATATTTAAACCTACTATAGATAATGAAGTCCTCATCGGTGCAGGCGTCTGAGCCCGTACCGTTGAAACATTCAACTAGTTAAATGAGTGCAATATCCACTATTTTCATGTAGCTGTGCCCACACATGAGGTCGGAGAGCTATGAGGGTAAATTAAACCACTTACATGACCCGCAGCTAGCCGATCGGCATAACTTGTCGACCGCAAGTAATCGTTTACGAGGCAGTGTACACTGCTTTAATACAGAGTACTTCAATCCCGTTTTGAGCTCGATCTAGTGACATTTTATTTTGTCCTGAGGCAACTTGCATGGCACGAGTTCGGGAACACGTCCTCATATTCGATAAAATTCTTTGTAAAGGATTTGCCTAGATCGACTCCCATAATTGAGACGTGCATCGCTCAATCCGAGTCTCCAAATCGAGGACAATTTCGTCCATAGATGAGCGGCTGAAAACCTGTTTGTTCTTAGCACATACCATTTCCGACAGAATATCAATCACGTACTCGTCCTCTGTGACGAGAATAAAGATCTGCTTTACTTTTCCACTACGCAGATTATACAAGAACCTTTTTTTTTCAAGCGTTGGCAACTTGCTGATCTCCGAAGTCAGCTCCAGAAGCGCAATCATATTAAGTTAGTAAGACATTACAATTGACCCGTCCATAACCCTGACATATTGTCTCGGTTTCTTTCTGAGAATTTTGTCCACAGGCTGCTGGAAAACTATTTCCTAAGTTTGATGAGGTCTCGTTACCTCATCAATTAAGGCTCAATTTTTTATATCACGTACGTGAAGAATTATTTCCTTAATGTCTTTTAGCTGTGATTACGCTTTTATACCCAGGTTCTCTATGATCGGCTCTCTAGATGATCCATGATCATCATGTTGCCCCGTGTGGGAAACTAGATCATTGTTACTTAATGTCACCCGCTAGGCTTACACTAATGTCCCGATCCACTAGACTTGTTTGAGCGGTGGTCCTTTGGCGCTACTTGTGCATCCGCACAGCCACGAGCGGCTTCATCCACAGTGTGATGGATGTCACCCTGTGTTATTGTGCAGTCGTGAT